AGAGAGTCTCCTGTCGCGTGACCTGCCTTTCGGTGGCACTGTGCTACAGGCTGCTGTGAGATGCTGCTAACTCAGTGCGTTGTGCTGGGTAATTTACCCAGGCCCCTGATGCAGTTGTCAGAGCTGCATTGGCAACTTACAGAATACTTTCTCTCTCCGTTGGCATTGTCAGAAATCTGGGGAAGCAAATCAGGGATACTTTCTGTTGGCATTGTCAGAAATCTGGGGAGGCAAATGAGGGATACTTTCTCTCTCCATGGGCATTGTCAGAAATCTGGAGAAGCTAATCAGGGCTCCTGGTTGCCCAGAGTTGTGTAGGTCAAACGTTTGTTTGCTGATGCTGTGACTAACTACTGTGTTTGGTTCCTGCTCAATGAAGCACTTTCAGAGGGCTTTCTAGCTTCACAAATAGCACTTTGGTTTTCAGCTGGCTAAGTAAAAGGACATCCTATTAAAATGTCTGTGCTTATGCAACAGACACCAGCTTCTCCAAGCCAAGACAGAACAGGTCTGTTTGCAAACGTTCTCACTTCTCTTTGATGCACTATCATGCAGCAGACAGGACTACTTGGGATAGTAACACTCGCTGTCCAGCTCTCCTAGGTCTGCCTTCACAAGCGAGTGCAAGCCGTAACTGCAGGCAATTCCCTGTTTTGATACTCTTCTTACCTTTTACATTAATGTGTGCTTTATTTTACTTCTTAATGGAGGATGCGTTATAAGTCCTTTCGGTATCCATTCCCACGGCTCTGCATCTGGTGCTCTGCCTGCATGTATACTTAATACTGTCATTTATGGCTAAGGAGTCAGGTTTAGTTCCCTTATGGATTTCCTCAGGGGACCAGGTGTGCACAGAGATAGCTGAGCAGAGATCGCTAATTGTTAGTTGACTGTGCTGGTCCATGGTCCTGCTGCCTTACATTAGCTTTTGCCCTGCAGCATTCTGCTCCCTCCTTGATGAATGTAGGAAACCTGAGGAAAGCACTGTGTTCTGTTGCACGTGTTGCTGTGGTACCTGGGTGTGGGACCATCTGAGCAGTGGGCTGGTGTGTGACAAAGGAGTCCCTCATCCGAATGGCTCAGTTATCAGCAAAGTAAATGCTGTTGGAATGCTTCCTCTGGAGTATTATTGCTTTCTATTCTTTGTGGTTTATGTAGTAATAATAGGAAACCTGAGGAAAGCACTGTGTTCTGTTGCACGTGTTGCTGTGGTACCTGGGTGTGGGACCATCTGAGCAGTGGGCTGGTGTGTGACAAAGGAGTCCCTCATCCGAATGGCTCAGTTATCAGCAAAGTAAATGCTGTTGGAATGCTTCCTCTGGAGTATTATTGCTTTCTATTCTTTGTGGTTTATGTAGTAATAATTTGGTTATACATCCCTACTGCTCCTCCTGTGGATCCGTTTGCAAAAATCAGAGTGGATGACTGTGGAAGAACCAAGGGATGCTTCAGGTCAGTCCAAGATAAGAGTGCAGATACGTTTGTGCTTACAAATGCTGACTGATGGTATTTGAGACTTTAGTAGATGTTCCATATTCATTTTAATAAGCATTTATTATTTAAGAATGTCCTTTGTAGTATGAACTATATTATTCAAGGAAACTAGATTAAGGATATGCATCATAGTAATGGACCTACAGTTCTTTCACATTTCCTGTATTTTCATGAGGCACTTAAAGAGACAGAGCAAGGAGTAAATGCTGTAATTGTCATACTGTTTAAATACTATGCATTCTCACACTGAAACAGAGATAATTACAAACACTCAATTAATGGTACTTTATGTATAGCAGAATGTATGTTTTACTGCCATTATACCAAAATACGTTCTTGTAGGGTTTTTGTCTTGCAGAAATGTAATGAAGTTCCGTAGCAGGAAATTTCAAGGGCAAGTTATGTCAATTTCCAATTCCATTTAGGTACGGTAAACCTGGATGTAATGCGGAGACGTGTGACTACTTTCTAAGTTACCGTCGAATAGGAGCTGATGTGGAATTTGAGCTGAGTGCCGACACTGATGGCTGGGTGGCAGTGGGATTTTCCTCAGACAAGAAAATGGTAAGACATGCACAGTTCTTCATGTTGATGATATGCACACTTTTACATGCCAGGATGTAAAAGGTTTATATTTGATCAGTCAGAAGGAGTGCATGTAAGGAAAAACTGACTTGCTGAAAACAAAGCACCATTCAGTAGTGCCCCTGGGAGCAGAAGCCTGGCCTACTGCCTCCCAGAAAAACTGCTTCATCCTTCCTAACATCTCCTTTCCCTTCTTCTCTGAGAACTACGACAGCATTTCAGTTTAGCTCTGTTACGAGTTACAAGCTTTTCGCCTTTTATTGGAAAAGCCCTCAGGGATAAGCCAATTCATGTGGAACTGTCCTGTTGCCTGTGTGTCAGTGTAACCTGGCTAAAAGGCACCTCATGAACTAAATAGCAAATATTTTTATTCTTCAGTAAATCAGCTGACTTTCAGCAGTATAAATATGGCTTTCACTGTTAAACTTTGGAAATCTTTTTGATTCTTTCATATGTATTGTTCCAGTGGGTTTGGTAAAATAATGTAAACTTGAACCTGGTTATTTATCTAATTTTGGCTCAGGTCTGGATCAGGAACACTGTGGTCAGCAGGACCAGGGAGGTGATTCTGACCCCGTACTCGGTGCTGGTGAGGCCACACCTTGAAAATTGTGTACAGTTCTGGGCCCCTCAGTTCAGGAAGGATATTGAGGTGCTGGAGCAGGTCCAGAGAAGAGCAACGAGGCTGGTGAAGGGACTCGAGCACAAGTGCTATGAGGAGAGGCTGAGGGAGCTGGGGTTGTTTAGCCTGGAGAAGAGGAGGCTCAGGGGAGACCTTATCACCCTCTACAACTCCCTGAAAGGAGGTTGTAGTCAGGTGGGGGTTGGTCTCTTCTCCCAGGCAACCAGCAGTTGGACAAGAGGGCACAGACTCAAGCTCTGCCAGGGGAGGTTTAGGTTGGATATTAGGAAGAGATTTTTTATGGAAAGAGTAATCAGGCATTGGAATGGGCTGCCCAGGAAGGTGGTGGATTCACCATCCCTGGAGGTTTTCAAGATGAGACTGGATGTGGCACTTAGTGCCATGATCTAGTAACGACAGTAGGGTTGGACTCGATGATCTTGGAGCTCTTTTCCAATGTGGTTGATTCTATGTTCTATGATGACTCTTGCTAATTTAAACATACGTAATCTAGAAACTCATACATACTCAATTTTGTTAAAATTTCTTTGCTCTCCCCTGGATTTTATTTGATTCAGTTTTATGCTGATTCCTGTACTTTTTCATTCAAAAGCTTCAGTGAGCAAAACAGAAGCATGTGCCATGTGAACTTTAAAAAACCTGAACAATGGGTGACTCATGCAAAGGTGTTTTGTCTGTGATCCTTGTAAGATGTTTAGGATTAAACTGTAGTTTATAATGTAAGTGTTTATATACAGAAACACTCCTGAGTATATAAAACAATACTGAGCCTACATCCTAAATCACAAGTCAACGGGAAGGACTGTTTCTTGTACAGCTGAAAGTATTAGTCTGAAAAAATAAAAGATTCATACATCCTGGGCAAGAACCTACAGGAATGAATGGGAAGACTTAACAGCATTTTCTCAGAGTCCCACTGCCCTCATCAGCCACTGGGAAAGCAGGTGTTACCTTTTGTCCCAGGCACACCAAGCCATGTGTTAAGTCTGAGTTTCTGCTAAGAAGAATAAAGTAAGTGTAAAGTAAAAGGGTTTGCTTCCAAAATTGCTGTGTACATCATAATGCCCATCAGTCAGTTGCTTCCAAAATTGCTGTGTACATCATATAATGCCCATCAGTCAGCTAGACCAAACTAGCTAGCATCTCTCTTCCTCTCTTGTTCCCCTGCTGACTTCATCCTTTTTCATAACTTCCAAAAGGATGTTTTGGTGTCCTGGGAAGTGCAGGCTTTGACGGTGAAGTAGCTCTGGGTCACAACAGCTTAGCTGTGAGAAACGGGCTGTGCTTTGGAGGCCTTAATCAAAATGGTGTGGCCTGGATAGCTGCAGAAGGGCAGGAAAAGAACCTATTTTGTGTCCTCAATGGATTTTTTTGAAGTCCTGTGACCTATTTCTTTGGCTCAAATAACATCATACTTTTCCACTTGCAGGCTTTTGTGCCTTGGCAGGATTTTGTAATGTCATTCTGTTAACTGAGATTCAGAATGCTTTTTTCTTTCCTTTTTGTTTTTTTCTTTTATGTGAAAACATCTTTATTTTGCCTCTTTGTACTTACAAATGAGGGATTTGTGCTCAGATGTATAAAAAATTTAACTTGGAAAATAAGTTACGGAGAACAATGATAGTCTCAAGACAGGCTGGAAAGGCAGCCTGCAGTAGCACCAAGGTGCAGAAACTGATCAGGTGTGTGTTTTACCTAGTCGTCCCTTCCCCCTCACTTTTGGCACATCTTTTACAAATAGACATAGCAAGATTCCCAGAGAGCTGAAATGCACCCTTTTTCTCTCTTTGCACTGTAACAAAGAGCTGAGGGATGACCACACTAGCAAGCATCCTGTCTGTCAGCAGTATGGCACATCAGCAAGGTGAGTACAGGAGGAGCAGGGCCTGTATCTAGTGCATGCACCAGCCATAGTTGTGGCAGTGGTGGTCAGTCAAATGCCACTCATCCAGCTTGGACAGTGTTTTAATGGTTCTTGATGCTAAGGCTTCTGTGAGTTGGTACTCCTAAAGTTAATGTTCCTCCCTGAGAGATAGAGTGCTCCTCCACTTTGGCGGTGGCCCTGAGTAACTGTTGTAGCAACTGCTTTACTAGTTTTCTGTGAATGACCTTTACAAGTAATTGTCTCACACTTCCTTCTGTCTGTTGTTTTTTTGCCTAAGGAGAACCAACTTTGGTGGCTGTTTATGCTAAATGGAAGCACATTATTGATTACTTTTTGCTTGTATCTTACGGTGCTCTCTATTCTGTTATTACATGCTGAACATTTTTCATTTTCTTATAAGAGATAAAAGAGATATGGGAAGTGATGTTGCCTTAAGCAAACATGAGACTAGAAAAGACTTACTGTAATTTATGCTATTATTTGCTCATCTGTAGTAGCTTCATCTCCTCTGTCTTACTAAACTATATTGGTTTTCTGTCCATGATTTAATGCAATGGGGTTTGTACACATGAAGGATTCGAGACTGTCAGTTTTTATGAAGCCGGATCCCAGAACTTGACAAATAACAAAAGAAAACTCCCTTCCACACATCAATGAATTATGTGATGTCAGGGTGATATCATGTCTCACAAATATGTTATATATGTTAGGTAAAATAACTCTTAGAAATATTCAAAGGAGAATTCAATGATATATGTTAGGTAAAATAACTCTTAGAAAGATTCAAAGGAGAATTCAGTGACAGTAAGGGTAAGTAAATACTATATCCACTCATGTGCTTTTCAGTCAGATTGGAGACACCTGGTTGGGGAAACAAATATTTGTGTATACGTAGCTTAGAAAGGAGAGTCCCAGGTCTTGATTAGTTTTGAATAACCAAAATTATATGCATAAATGAGGAAATGCCTTATGGCTCTGTTGTTTTCCATCTTCTGATTTGTTCTTACCTTGTAGGGAGGAGATGATGTCATGGCTTGTGTTCATGATGATAACGGCAGGGTCCGAATACACCACTTCTATAATGTCGGTCAGTGGGCTAAAGAAATCCAGAGGAATCCTGCTAGAGATGAAGAAGGGGTTTTTGAAAACAATCGTGTCACGTGTCGATTCAAGCGTCCTGTATATGTTCCCCGAGAGGAAACCATCGTAGATCTGCACTTGAGTTGGTATTACCTGTTTGCTTGGGGCCCAGCAATCCAGGGTAAGTTGATTTCTGTGTTACCTACAGAACTGAGGTGCTAAAATTGATAAATGTCTTTCAATCACATTATTCTTAGTAGACCCTCTTTTGATTTTTAATTAACTAAACTTCTGGCAGCATGAGGCTTGAAAAAAGATAAAAAGCAAGACAAGTCCAGCATGTTGTGTTTTCTTGGCCATATAGCTACTATCCCCACTGCCCAAAGCTAAATTTAGAAGAACTTCATAACTAGAAGTTCTCGATTCCTTTGCAGGATGTTTCTTGTTTGCTTGAATTTAATTTGTTTTATTCAGAAGTTTAATTTCAGAAAGCAAAGAAATGACCCTACTCACTGACAGTGTAACATTGCATGCTCCTGTAGGTTTGAAAATTACCTGCCTGTCTACCTGTTTCTTGGGTAGAGGTACAGAAAAGAAATGCATCTGACATTATTTCTTTCTGCCCTTGCCTGTTAAAGGTTCCATAACTCGCCATGATATAGACTCACCACCCGTATCAGAGCGTGTTGTCAGTATTTACAAGTATGAAGATATTTTCATGCCATCAGCTGCCTATCAGACCTTCTCTTCTCCATTCTGCTTGCTCCTCATTGTTGCACTGACCTTCTATTTATTGATGGGAACCCCATGACCAATGGAAAATAGCAAGAATTTGTCAGTGGAAGTTTCTCAGGATGGACTGCTATACGGATGGACGATGCATCTTTCTATTGGAGTTTATATCACACCACCATCCTCATCTAGCTGCTTTTGAACATAGTTAGCTTCTCAGAAGAATGAAATAACCATCTCCTTTGAGTGGCAGAGTGGTGCCAAATCATTTAAGAATAATCAGTGAACACATAGGAGAATATATTCAGTGTTGTGATTATTTGCTTAAAGAAAATGAGACTTTTGTAAAATCTGTGTGTGTATGCGTGTTTGGGAGGGGTGTCTGTGTGTGTGTTTAGGCAAATTTAGTGATGGACATCTTATCAAATAACAAAATTGCCTTCCAATTTGCTTCGAAAAAGCAGATTTGGGAAAACATGGTAATGCTGTTTGGTACTGCTGGAGCAGACAGACAGCACAACTCCAAGTGCAGTTTCTGATCTGAAGGTCTGAATACCGACACAGCAGTATAAAACCTGCCCCGCAGTAGTGGACAGTACTCCCAATTTTTACTTTTTTTTTTAAAATTTTTGTTTTATATTTATCAAAGTTTACTTGCTGCGGTACTTTCCAAAACTAAACTTGCACATTCAAACATTCGCATGGGTTTTTTTTTTCAATGGAAAAGAGGTGATGAAAGTCTTTATAATAATAATAATGTTTCAACAGCCTTTTTGAAAGAAATGGCTAATTCTTTTAAGAGTGAGATAAAAAGTTATTTAAACAAGGAGAAGGGAGAATACAGCAATATAAATTCTCGATACATAGGAAAATCGTGTGTAAAACATGCAGAATACAGAAGTTCCCAACAAGCCATAGGATGTCCTCCCAATAGACTAAATCAGTTTTTATATGGAAAACAGTAATTTTGCTGACATGTAAATACATTTTTAAGTAGTTGTGCAGTAATATGAGGTAATCTGTTTTTCTGTGTTGTATGCCTCTATATCCTGTTTGTGTTAAGGGTGACTATGGGCAGCTGGTGTTAAGTTACAAAGAAATGAAAATATAATTGAGATTATTTGTAAGGAAAGACAGGGATTAATAAGATTAATAAGAGCTGTATCTTTAGTTCATCAAATCATTTCTAAAATGTAGTTACTGTGGAAAAAGATGAGCTAAAGAGGAAATACATGAGTTTTTTTTAATCACCAATAAATATTAGAAGATGAATGCTAAATATTACAGTAATGGAAAGTGTCAAAATGCATGTATGAGCCACAGAATATTATGAAAAACTTTGTATGGGGAATTTCTGTTCTTCACAAAATAGGAAGTGTATGACACATGTCTACATGTAGTAGCCGAATGTGCTTAGATGAGGTTACTCATTTACTTTCCAACTTGCATTAAAATTCTATTTAAATAGAATTAAAATCTAAATAGTGCCAAAGTTTTATCTAATGTGATAGGCTTGAGGACTCTGTAACAGAGGATCTGGTAAAGTATATGATGGAGCTCCTTGCTATTCTCATTGCAGCATAGAGTATAAAATGATTAACTAACTTTGCTGGGTTTGCATTGTTATTCACAGACTGAAGTTTGTAGAGTAATTTTTTTTAGGCTCAGCATTCTTCAAATCTATGACTAAGGTATATGGCTTAGATTTAAAATTAATTTATCTTCATCACAAACACATTGCTGTTTCAACTAAAAGATTGGTTAGTATTTTATACTTTCATTGATGTCTTTAAAGATTTGTTCACTTAAAATTAGTGAACTAGAGTTCAAGAGAGGGAAGAGAAATTCAGAATGAAGTTAATTTTAAAAATGGATATAGTATTTAGTATAAATTACTTCTCTCAAGCTGGTTAACTTACTCATCACCTGATGAAGTATATAGTGGGGACCACCTAATAAGGAAGGTCAGCTTTGGTTCACAGTGGCTCTATAATTTAGCCCTAAGATTGGCTGGAGCAGATGAGCTGAAGCCTGGATAATGAGCTTTATGTTCAGCAATCACTTGAAGTGAAGAAATCATTAGGGTAAATTCTTTCTCCTTTGTGCTAATTTGTAGGCAGCTGAGATACTGCAGTTCTGTCTCCAGAGCCTGAGGGTGGCTTTAGTTTATGGCCTTGTATTTACTGTTTTATTTTCAGGCATTTACCTGATGACCCACTAAAAGGCTAGTTTATTAATTTAAGGGTACTGAAGTAGGATGGAAACACGTTTTGGCTCCTCTTTTCTTTTTTTAATACAGTGCTGGATTTAGGATAGCCTGGCTGGGCCCAAGCACAGAGGCATGTTATAGGTGACAATAATAATACCGAGGTAAAATTGTGTGACACATGTCAATCTGCTTTCTACATATATGGAGTCCAATGTGTTTAAAGTTCAGGATCTAAAGCAACAGCAAATTAATTTTTATTTCGTTTTCAGATTACTTGGCAGTGCCCTGTCTGGTATTTTTGTCATCGTATTTTTCTCTTGTTGAAGTAGCAGAAATGTGCACTGCTATAAAAACTTTCATCCAAGCTTCAAAGTACTTAATTAGCCTAATAAAGTATTTCTAATCAAAGGGGAGGCAATAAAAAGCCACAGTGAGCAGCAAAACAATCTATTATTTGGCATTTCAACTCATGGTTCAGTTTGGCACTGAGTTTGTCTGAGAGTTGCTCTTCAGAGTGGGAAAACCAGGAATATGAAATTCAAGTTGACAAACAAAGAAGGGTATGACTGTTTAGAAATTACTAGTTGGGATGAAATCTGAAAAGAAAAAGGCGATAAGAGAAATGAAGGTTCTTTAGCTCAGTGGTATTTAACTTTGCATGATACTTGGTGTGTCTTAAAGTTTGTGTGAGTATACACAAACCCACTTGTCATGGCAGGTATTCTGGTTTTCAAGTGTTTTGCCTTTTTTTTTCTTTTTAATATTGAAAAACAGAATGGATTGCTGTCATACAAAATTACTACAAAGTGACAGTCTTCAAAGTTTTTTTTTAAGTGATTATGGCATTTTAAATAGTTTTTTAAATTTTTTTTGCTAATTAATGGTTACCAACACGAACTGGAAGAAAAGGCTTTGGAAAAGGAGGCAGATATTTCCTTCTCCAAATAGTTTTTAGTTTCCTTAGTGTGACTACTAGCAAATAACTGTTAAAGAATAAATTTCTAAAGTGCTTTAATTCTGGGAATTGTCATACAGTGACCTAATACAAAGGCATAGCATTTAGAAAGGGCATGTTTAGAGTATGGTGTCCTTTGGAATTTTAAGTGCGGTTACTAATTAGAAAGATAGAACTGGTAAAGACCATATGGTATTAATTAGTGTCCTTGAATAGGGTTTTTTCCGTGCAGAACAAAATTCAGTTGTGACCATTGCTTGTGATGTTAACCATATTATCATCCTCTGTTCATTCTGTCCATCTTATCTAGAACATTTTACACTTAAAGTTTCTAAGTTACTTGGAGGAGAAGTCAGTTGCTTATATTTGTGACAGTGCCTATTGCAAAGGGACCTTGTTTTTTGACTGTAGTGTCTGACTGGCACCCTGCTATAAATAATAAGCTGGGCCTGAAATTACATTAATAATAAGCAGGCTAGAAGAGAGAGAAAAATGAGTGGAGAGAACCGACTCTCAGAAAGTAATTTTTTTTCTTTGCTGGAATCAAATAGCGATGTGTATTTTTAGGTATCGGTGAGATGCTAAATGATTTTCCCCCTCAAAAAAAAAAAAAGCCTAACTGATTTGATAATGTCATTGGATACAGGGTGATGCCATCTTCAAAATTCTGTTAGTAGAAGGGAAATACTCAGGTTTCGAAAGATAACATGTTGATGAGAAAAGTCTGAAATCCCTCTGTGGCTTTCTTGGCCTTCTTGATTGGTTTTGCAATATTTGGATAGCAAAAACATAAACAGTTGTGGCCTCCCTAACCTGAGGAAACCCCCAGATGGGGTGAAATGTTGTCAAAGCTGTGTTTGGTGCTGGCTTTCCCAGTTTTCACCACAGGGATTAGAGAATGACTGGGGCATGGTGTCCAACATGCCACCAAGGCAGTGGTCTTGAAGCTTGCCTGGGGCACTGTATCCTGGGTCTGAACCAGAAAGAGCTCTGCAACTGCCTCCAGTGTAATGAATATCTACTGCAAAGTGGAAATAACAAACAGCACGACCCATCCTACACCAAATCTCTTAAATATTGCATATCTTCTTGTTGACAAGAAGCTCAACATGAGCTGGCAAAGTGCGCTTGCATCCCAGAAAGCCAACTGTATTCTGGGCTGCATCCAAAGAATTGTGAGCAGCAGGTCAAGGGAGGTGATTCTGCCCCTCTGCTCTTGTGAGACACCACCTGCAGTGCTGCATACAGCTCTGGGGTCCCAACATATGAAGGATGTAGACCTGCTGGAACGAGTCTAGAAGAGGACTGAAGCCCTGCTCCCATGAGGACAGGCTGAGAGAGTTGGGACTGTTCAGCTTGGAGACAAGAAGGCTCTGGGGACACCTTAGAACACTTTCCAGTACCTAGAGGGGCCCTACAAGAAAGCTGAAGAGGGACTTTTTACAAGGTCATGCAGTGATAGGACAAGGGGCAAAGGGTTTTAAACTGCCAGAGGGTAGACATAGATAAGATATAAGAAATTCTTTACTCTGAGGGTGGTGAGGCACTGGAACATGTTTCCTAGGAAGTTGTGGATGCCCCATCCTTGAAAGTGTTCCAGGCCAGAATGGATGGGACTTTGAGCAGCCTGGTCTAGTGGAAGGGGTCCCTGCCCATAGCAGGGGTGTTGGAATGAGATGATCTTTAATGTCCCTTCCAACCTAAACCATTCTACGATTCTTTCGCCAGAAAGTGTTCTTGCTGTGAGTGTTTATGCTTTGTCTTCCTTTGAAAAGTACCATGCTCCTTGTCATCAGTCTATGTCCTGTCCCTGTTTCCACAGATGCCTTATGTTATTTAATGAGGTGATCCTGAGAAGTCTTAGCCCAGCTGTAAAGAGGAGTTAGTAGGTAACGAGGAATGACACACAGCTGTCTTCACAATTTTCCAGGTCACAGTTAGACATCTGTGTCACTGATGATACTTCAGTTATTTGTAAGTAAATGATTGCTATAAGTTTTAGGGAAGACACAGGTCTCCCTGGGGTCTTTTTTCTGTCTTTTCCTTACTTTCAAATCCCTCCAATGCATCAGACGTTTACAAAGAAGCAAATTATTCTCCTTTTAGAGAACAGACCCTCTGTCTGGTCTTTCAGGTCTTTTCTGGGCCTACTGGAAGTTGGCAGCTTGCAGTACTGTAGAGGCAAAATTAAATTTTATATGCAAACTGTAACTTTTATTAGTATTTAAATTGCATTTTGTGACTTGCTGGTTTCACTGATTTGCCACAGTGTTCTGTAGCAGGTGTACTTCCCCCCTCCTTTTTTTTAAATGTCTCCAAATAGTTTTCCCAATGAAAAGCATTG